CACCAGAAAAAAAAAAAAATCTCAAAACCAAGTTATGATTTTTTTTGCAGAAATCATTGGATTTATTGTTATAGTTACATCTAGATTTACATATGCTCCATTTCCCACAGTTCTATTGTGTTCCAGAATCACAGAATAAAAATTTAAGGGCAGGACATGCAAATAGCATATCATCATGTAAACTGAAGAGAGCCAGCTTGGAGGGGGTTAAGGCATCAGGCTAGAAACTGGGAAACTGAGTTCTAGTCCCGCCTTAGGCACAAAGCCAGTTGGGGTGACTTTGGGCCAGTCACTCTTTCTCAGCCCTAAGGCGGCAGCAACGGCAAGCCATTTCTGAAATCTTGCCAGGAAAACCGCAGGGTCTTATCCAGGCAGTCACCAGGAGTCAACACTAACTTAAAGGTGCACACACACACACAAAAATATGTAAACTGAAACTGTATTTGCTATCAATGGAAGAACACATTTCAGAATAAGTCTGTAAAGTGGGCTTACTGTTAAGATTCTCACCAAAGCTGATCTTTATTACAATGATGTCCACAAGTACACTGTTCTGCTTTTGCCTACATAAGTGAATCATTATCATTTGCTTATGTGAGAAAAATATGTGTGATCCATTTAAGAAAAAAGTAGCAGAGATAAATCTACCTATTCCTTCAGCTCACATTCATCAACAAGGCTCTTAAAAAAAAAGTATACATTCAATATTTCTCTGTGTGCACATGAAATTACTGTTTGCATGGATGTTTTTAAAATTGTTATTTTGGTTAATTATATTTAAAGAAGTCAAAGCTTAGTTGAATGTATATAATGTTATGTCAGTGTATGCATGTGTGTGTCCATGTGTAACTGTATGTATACATACATACACACATGAATATGACAGAGGAAGGGAATTCAGGTAGTTCTAACTGAGTTCCCTTCCTCTGTCATATTCACATGTGTGCGTATGCATACATCCCTGTAATTTCCAATGTTTCATAATATATATGAAAAATTATTGCATAATACATGTAGCAGCAGGCTGAGCTCATAGGATAAAAGGCTGGAGGTCTCAAAATTTATTCTACCAGGGTTTACACACCCTGGTCCTACCTTAGTCTATTTGTTTGATAGTAATTGCTACCACCATCTAATTTCCAGAAGGCCTATTACCTGGTGTCTTCCTCCCTAACCCCAAAATGTAAGAGAGAGAGAGCCCCACAGCAAACAGGCAGCATTTAAAAGAACAGAACTTTTCTATTTATAGAAATAGGGTTTTTTTTCTTTCCAATAGAAAAATGTACAGGAAAAGAGAACGTTTTGCGAGATCATAGGATGATGCTGGTCTGCTCTCAGTTTAGAGGCCACTGTGATGTTCCAAGTTGCACATAAAAATGCAATCAATTAAGGACTTCTGGGGAAGCAATGGTGAAGTGAAGACGGTTTTGCTTTTAGCCGAGCCGAAACTGTGGCAGAACGAGGAGCCGAAGAATGAATCAGAGCCTCAAAATTCCTCCCTGGACAAAGGGGAAGACTTGGGATCACCCATAGGGCTCCTACACCAGTCTCCAGTGGGTTTTAGAGCTCTGGGAGCTGGGAGAGTCACCTTGCCCAAGCCACAGTTCGGAGCCTTCAAAGAGACACTGGGTTTGCCAACTTTCTTTCTTAATCACTTTTGAAAATGGCTTGTAAATTGCTTTTTGGATACTAAGAAGCTTCAGAAACACAAGTTTTATTTCACTGGGTGATTTTCCTTCAATCCTCAACAAAAGAAGTTTCATATAAGTTTAAGGACTTAAAGAAAAAAATTATTTGAAAATAAGCAGCAAAAGGGTGATCAGAACATTGATTTTGGAAAGTTATAAATGGACTAAGGGACTAGATTGACTGGAAATAAGATTTTGAAATTAACTATAAGAATCCTGCCTCTGGTTTGTTTATAATCCTATTAAAAATATATGAAGATCTTGAAGTTAAGTGTAAGAAATCTTTCCATGGAAAAATGGTGTGGATTAGAGAAAAACATGATAAAAGGAGACTTTGAAGGCTGGTTACTAGAGGCAATCAGAAAGAACTAAAGATTACAACTAAAGGAGAAAACCCACTAATACAGAATTGAGAAAAGTATTTTAACTCTGGAAGATTTCAAGGATATTTGGCAACAATGTACTAAGACTTTCTCTTAAGATTGTATGATACTATGAAAATGGGTTTTAAAATGGGTTTTACTGAGAATCTGGCTGTTTTGGATATGGATTTAAAAATGACAGAATACAAGAATGATATTGACAAAGATGCTACACAGGACTTACACACCAGCTGATGTTTTAATAATTAAAAGGGACATACAAATAATAAGTCAGAAGAGGGACTTGGATGTGTGGATTTCAGCAACTTGGACAACTTTCTTATTTTGAACTTACAAAAGAGACATGTTGCACTTATGAAGGAGTTTCTGAGAAAAGATAAAAAGAGAATGAAAAGAAATCAGCTTTTGGGATATTACTTAAACAGAATAAACATCAAGACTTTTAAAACCAAAAAGAAGGATTATAAAGTCAGTTTGTTCAATTAAGGTTAAAATATATGATGCTTTTTCTTCTAGTAGTTTTTAATGGGTTTTTTTTGTCCGGGAATAAGTGATGAGACCTTAAAGATTTGCTATTAGATAAGATATGGGGAGAAGAGATTTTTTGTTGTATGATTAGAGAGAGTGATGGGTTATGATGTTAAAATTGAAAGAAAGTGTTAAATCTGTGAAGGAATTTCTGAGAGGAGACGAAGAGAAAATGATAAGAAATTAATTTGTGGGATATTATTTGAAGGGTTTAAAGATTACAATTTTCTGGTAGCTCTTAATGGAATTTTTTTTATTACGTTTGAAAATGAGTTTTTATAGGTTTGCTTATAGATATAAGATAAGATATGGGAAGAAGAGCTTTTTGTTATTGTTATTGTACTTTTAGAGAAAATGATAAATTACTGTGTAAAGGAAAGGAAAGGAAATAAAATTGATTTGTTTAATTTATATATATTGTTATTTCTGGTAACTCTTAATGGACTTTTGCTGATTAAGATTAAATATGAGGTTTTGTTATTTACTAATAAATAAAAGAGATACGGGATGAAGAAATCTTTGGTTGAAATGTTAGAGAAGGTGATAAGTTACTGAAATTGTCTGTACTTGTCTTGATGGAGGGGGAAGTCATTTCTTTATATTTTTTCTTTATATATATTTTTTCTTCCCCCCCTTTTTTCTTTTTCTTCTTTTCCCTTTGCACTTTTTATTCTTTCTTTTTATATTTTTCTTAGTTTGTATGAGTTTTTTATCTCTGTATTTTTAAACTTTAATAAAAATCATTAATAAAAAAATATAATCAATTATCTTGTATAGAGAAAACAGATGCCAGACACAATAAAGCATTAATTAGCAGATATAGAAAAAAAATGAAACTTAGTACTCAGCTAACTTTTTCCTATTCCTCTAGAGAACAAACTCTTGGAACAGATGTTATCTCTGTGGCAATTTGTTACTTGGAAAACCCTTCCTCCTGCAAAATCCAACTTTAATCAGAGGTTAAAGAAGAATCTTAGTTCTCTCTTTCTCCCCAAAGCCTTGGCACATATCTTCCTCTTTTTTTCCCAGAGTTCTGATTGCACTTTTCGAAAGAACAAAAGGTCTTCCATCTAGAAGGAGAGGGACTGGGGAAATCTCTTTTTGCTACACACTAAAGTAATAACTCTACCTCAAGAAAACGTTGGTTCAAATCTTTGAGATAGCAGCTTGCTGTCTGGCATGAGGGACCGGCAGGCAGCCTGCAAGGATGAGGAATTGTAAGTTACCCATTCACTACTGTATTTAAAACTAGAAACCATAAGGCTGGGACACCTGCATACAAGGGCATTTACTTTGCTAGATGGTAGCCGAGATGAGGTTCTACTATACAAGTCTTAGGTGCAGCCTCAGATACCTCTAAACTGACATTTTAATATAACAGAGGAAACTTTTACAATCATATTAACTATATTATA